CATCATATATTCTACACAACTACACGGTCAACGTACAACTTTAAAACTCACAACACACAACTTACAACTCGATCTTATTTCTCAACTAAAGACTCACAACACAATCATCACATACTGCTTCATCTCTGCAACTCATTCATCATATTTTCATTCAAAAACTAAGTCAACATTTCATTCAACTATATCATCATATATTTCTTCAACAACCAGCACTCGATGTCACACATCCAACGCCCAACTCCATCTAGATAGGGAGCTCTTTGCTTTGCTCACACCCAATGCTACACACCTCACGCTTGACGTGGCTAAGGTAGAGACCTTTGAGGCCTCGTGCTTGGTGTGGTAAAGCACTATGCCCGACCTTATCTCAAGTAGAGAGTCTTTGCTTGATTCTCGCCTACGTCACCACATTAATGCTCAACAAAATCTAGACAAAGAGCTCTAGTCTGGCCATATTGGGCACCACTCAACTTTGGACCCGGTGTCACCAAGTTAGAGAACTCTTAAGGATTCCACGCCAGGTGTCATTCAAGTATCGCGCGACACCATGCCAACCCGAGATGAGTCTCTCTCCTTGTGCTCGACGTCACCAATTTGGCACCTAGTGTAATCGAGACAAAGAATCTTAAGTTAAAACAGGGTCCAGCGCCATGAAAGTATGCTCGACGTGACATCAAAATTTTGCATATATAAAACTCAATTTTGAGCCACAACTTAAAATCCAACAAAGATTGAATACGTTCAACATCAAACAACACTTACAAACATCACAACCAACATATATATGCACTTAAAATCAACATGTAACTACAATCAATTTAAATCACCACATTTTTCCTCAAGAACATAAAACCCCAACTTTCAACACACAACCCACTTTGATTTGATCAAACACAATCGTGAATTGCAAGGAACTCACACAACATCAAGCACCAAAATCATCCCACAACTCCAACATACAACAAGGAGAACATAAACCCAACTTCCCTTACCTCGAGATAGCTCAGGTTCAAGGTAGAAGAGAAGAAGGATTGAGTCTCCGCATGAAATCAACAACTTGATTCTGGGTTTTCACTACCTGAATCACAAACAACACAACTTAAATAAGGATCAGAGAAAAAGAGCTTATGGACAAGAAACCTTCTCTCTAGATACTTATGAAGAAAATGAATTTATAATATTTTATTCAAAACCAAAACCTTATATATTCTTCCCTTTGAGATCAAACTGGATCTCTCTACAAAAATTCCCTTTCAACATCATTGAAACTCCTAAGAGATCCCTAAATCTTAAAGTTTCTAAATATTGATTAAAAACTCACTCAACAATATAAAACAACTACAAATAATATAACACTATCAAGACTTATAGTGTTTCAACTAACAATAACTAAGTCGTAATTAGAAAGTGATTTAATTTAAGTACAACACCTTGATAACTTAATAATTCAAAAATTCAATCAAAAAATTGTAAGATTGTTAATTTTTATTAGTGATAGATCTAGAAATTTTAGAAGGTGGGAATAATATTTATAAATTTAAATTAGTATTTTAGTAATGTATTATATATAATAAAACTTTTTTTATCAAATTACAATTTAATAATATTATTAAGATTTAAATTATATTATAATTAAAATTTATAAAAGGCTAAAAACCTATTTTGGTCCCTTATAATAATTGTTTGTTTCAATTTAGTCCCACTTTTAATTTTTGTCTCAATTTGGTCCCTAATGAATTAATTGGTTGCAATGTGGGACTTCCGTCTAAATTATTTAAACGGAGTTAACTGTTGGCCACGTGGATGCCACAGAAAACACCTAGAACCAGAACGACCCGTTCTAAAACCAGAACAGGTTATTCTGGGTGCACACTTGGTGTGTTAATTTTTTATCTGAAATGGACCGTTCCAGATGCAAAATTAACACACCACGAGTACAAAAGAACGGTCCGTTCTGATTTCAGAACAGGCCGTTCTGGATGTAGAAGTAGGGGTGGGCAAAATGAACTGAACTGAACTGAACTTATAAAAACTATATTGAACTTAAAAGTAGTTCTCATGAACTGAACTAAACTAAATATTAGTTCAGATGAACTGAACTGAACTATTTTTTTGTATTATTGAACTGAACTTAACTATACTATAAAAACTTGAACTGAACTGTAATTTAAATTGTACTAAACTGTTATGATATTTTGAATTGAACAATTTTGACTCATTGATCTATCAAAATAGGACACATTTGCCAACTTTACTTTATTTTCCATTTTATTTAAATTTTTCAAAGAAAAAAAATATAAAATTAAGTCAAATAAACTCAGTGAATTTTAAGCCTAAAAATAAGTAGTCCAACATAGCTCAATTGATTCGTTAGGTTCGACAAAATTGATACAATTTTTTTTATCACTTTTTTTTCTAAAGTTTTGGTTATTAGACTATCGAGTTAATCCATTAAGACATAACATATTAGACACATTTAATTTTTATCCTTTTATAAAAATAGTTCAATTTTTATAATTCAGTTCAGTTTTATAGTTCAGTACAGTTAACTTTCCAACAGTTCAGTTCAATTCAGTTTTTTTTTAAACAGTTCAGTTTTTTATAGTACAGTTCAGTTCAGTTCACTATCAGTTCAGTTCAGTTCAGTTTTTTTTGCCCACCCCCACAGAACAGCCCCTTCCAGAACTATAATAATTTTGAAAAATATTTTTTTATGATAAAAATTTTAAAATTACTTATTTTTATAAAATACAATTGTCTTATAAATAGAGTGATAACTTTTCCTTTTTCTCTTTCTGTCTGAAGAAATATTTAAGTGTCACTTAATAATTTTTTGCAACTTATTTAAAATTAGAGGAATAAAATGATAAAAATTAATAGGATAAACAAAATAAAATTATTAATTTGTTTTCTTTTAGTGTCCTCTAAATTTTTACACTCATTTAAAACAAAAATATTTTATATGTTATTTTGAATTAATTGAACGAAGTATCATATGATTTTTAATTTTTTAAAAATTTTTATAAATTTGATCTATATATGAAAAGCTTTTTAATTTAACAATTAAATTTTTAAAAATTTGATATAGAACATTAATTATTAAGTAAAATAAATCTATCAAGACTTAATCTTGAAGTAAGTAAATTTTTTCTTCATTAAAAATGAAGAATTTTATCAAAAAATAAAAAATAATTAAACAATAAAATAAAATATAAAAAAATATATATTAATGTATTTATTATATTAGATATAACAAGATAATTAAAATATAATTAATAATTTATATTTTATAAAATTATTAATATTTTATATATATAAAAAAAAGAATGAAAAAAATTTTAGTGGGGGCAAGTGCCCCCACTATGATTAACTTAGATCTGTCCCTGTATGTGGTTGTGTGGTAAAATATTAGTCATGTGTATCCTCTACCTTTACTTCAGGTACTACCTATTCAAGAACATGTTGTTATTGTTGGGGTACATCGTTAATGACTTCAAGAAAAAGTACCATGTCATTTCATCCTTTACTATATAGTGTCAATTTGGTAATAAGTGGTTCACTCCAGTTTGACTAACAATGAAATAAAATCTATTACCATTGTCTTTAGTGATACACTACATTGTCTTTAGCGATACACTGCATTATCTTTAATGATACATTATATAGTCTAACTGTTTAACAATTGAAGTTATCAATTTCCATTGACAATATTACCAAATCCAGTGTTTAAAATGCTTTGTACCTTAGGTCTTTTTTCTTCCACAATTCACAACCGTGAACTATAATCATTGTTTAACAGTCTAGAACCAGAACGGCCCGTTCTGAAACCAGAACGGCACGTTCTTAAACTAGAACGGCCCGTTCTGGTTGCACTTTTAGTGTGTTAATTTTGCACCTGGAACGGGCCGTTCCGGATGCAAAATTAACACACCAAGAGTGCACCTAGAACGGCGGTCGTTCTAGTTCCAGGTGTTTTCAAAAAAATTGACATCCACGTGACATCCACCTATGCATCTACGTGGCTTCCACGTGCATGCCATGTGGCCAACAGTTAACTCCGTTTAAATAATTTAGACGAAAGTCCTACATTGCAATCAATTAATTTATTAGAAATCAAATTAAGACCAAAAATAAAAGTGGGACTAAGGGAATAAAATACTATTTTAGCCTTATAAAACTATATTTTAAATTAAAAATATAGTTTAAATACAGTAGCCTGAAAGGTTAGACAATTAAAAAAAATAATTCACATAAATATAAAAATAAAATATCATTTTATAATTGAGAGAGAATTTTTTTAATTACAAAAATGATGTGTAAAATTCATATAAAAGATAAAATAAAAATTTAATTAAAAAATGAAAATAATTGAATTAAAATAATTTAATGGGGTAATATTTAGAATATAAATTACTTTTAATCATATTTCAAATTATTTACAATTTATAATTATAAATATATTATATTTATAAGTGATAAAAAAATAGTATGTTACTAATAAATCCGTCCCTGTGTTCAAGTCTTTTTACATTATATGAATGACAAATTTATTAACTCTTAAATTTAATTATACTTTTAATCTTCGAGATTTGGAATAAGTTTATATTAATCTCGAATTCAAAATTAATTGTTTTAGTTATATAATTCTAAAAAAAATAAATTTGTTTTAGTCTATAAAGTTTTCGTTTAGTATCACTAACAAAAATAAATTATATCGATCTTTATTATGATATTTTTATTTGATATAATATTTGAATAAATAGATCAAAATATTTTTATATTTTAAGATTACAACTAAAAATAATTTTATATTTAAGGATCAAAAATAAATATTAAAATATTAAAATATATTTAAGAATTTTTTGTTTTATAATAATTAGTTAAAAACTATTTAAAATAATTTCTGATTGACTGTTAAAAGTCTTAACCAAATTCATAAATTAATCTGTCTTAAAAAAAAAACAAAATGGTTAGTTCAAAGGTTGTGATCTTCCCTTCACTCAATTCCAATGGTGCAAAATGCAAAATCCAACCCCCAACAGACTTTATCAGAGTTGACTTGTAGGTTTGGCTATCCCTTTGCCCTTTGCTTCCAAACTTGTAGGTTCAAAATTCTGCAATATCATTCAACACGTTTACATCTCATCACGCACACCACAACCCAATAATAAACCTCGGAACCTCTTCCGAGGTTTCTTGTTCTCACTGTAACATTCTATGACTCTGTCCCATTATTCAAAGTTTCTTCTTTTGAGCCCTGGGTTCTTTGATCCATAACCCCCCCTGAATTTTGGAACTGGGTGTCTTTCATTTTCTTCTTTCCTTCATTTTATTCTAGTGGATCCTTTGCCCAGTGCAAAATTTGTGATCTTGATCAATGATCACCTTTGAGTCACAATTTTGATGTTTCTTTTTTTTTTTTTTTGAGTCCCTGTGCATGTACACCTGTTGATTCTCCATAGTGTGTAATAATTTCTACAATCCCCTTGTGATGTGCACCTGTTGTTCTAGAAGGTTCAACTGTTCTAGCTAGGAAGTTAAAAGTTTTGTTTATTGCCTCTAGTTTTTTTTGTTGGTCACTGTTGTTGTGGTTATGGTTATGGCAGTTGGTTAATTGTGTGTATTTGCAGTTATCTATCCAATTGTAGATCTGCTGCTACACTAAGTCAACTCTAGATCCATGATTTTTTAGAATCTGTAATCTATATTCTGTTTGTTGTAGAAGAAAGAGAATAAAATTGTACCCTTTTGAGTTTACACTTCAATTTCCATTTTTTTGTGTTTATATTTGTTACTTCATAAGAAAGCCATTGAGTTGGAGAGGAAACTTGTGCAAAACTTGGATTGGTTTGCAGCCAATACAGCTTAGCATGCATAAGCTGTAGGCACAATGTCAATCCTGTGTGGTCTTCCTCTTGTTGAGTGTGTGTACTGTCTGGCTTGTGCACGTTGGGCTTGGAAAAGATGTCTTCACACTGCAGGCCATGACAGTGAGAATTGGGGCTTTGCCACAGCGGAAGAATTTGAGCCTATACCTCGCCTTTGTCGCTATATTTTAGCTGTGTACGAAGATGATCTTCGCCAACCCCTTTGGGCACCCCCTGGTGGCTATGGAATTAGCCCTGATTGGTTACTACACAAAAGGACATATGAAGATACCCGTGGCAGGGCGCCACCCTATATACTTTATCTTGATCATGAGCACTCCGACATAGTTCTTGCCATCAGGGGTCTAAATTTGGCAAAGGAAAGTGACTATGCAGTTCTGTTGGACAATAGATTAGGGAAGAAGAAGTTTGATGGAGGGTATGTTCACAATGGGTTGTTGAAGGCTGCTGGGTGGGTTTTGGATGCAGAATGTGAAGTTTTGAGGGAGTTGGTGGAGAAGCATCCAAATTATACTCTTACTTTTGTTGGACATTCCCTTGGATCTGGTGTAGCAGCTATGCTGACGATGGTGGTGGTGAAAAATCGACATAGATTGGGAAATATTGAGAGGAAGAGGGTCAGGTGCTATGCAATTGCACCTGCTAGGTGCATGTCACTGAATTTGGCAGTCAGATATGCAGATGTCATCAACTCTGTTGTGTTGCAGGCAAGTTATCAAATCTTTTATTATTTTTTTTACATTGATGATGGCCAAAAAATCCTGTGTAAATCCTTGACTAATTCCTTACCAAATCTAGAACACCTAAAGCATATATAAATTACACCAGACTAAGTCTACACTCGCTCAAGTATCCAACCCTTTCTATAAACCAAACTCCAACCAGTGGCAGCCAGGCAGGAAAAAATCTAACATTGTGGATGTTAATAGAAGGTAGTTTGTTTTGCATTACCTGTTTTTGATGTAACATTCTGCAATGAGTAGTGAAAATTTGAATGTGGTGAATTTCTGACTTGAATGGATACAACTGCTACAGATTTATAATAAACAAGGTAAATGGAAGAAAAATGAATATAGTGTTTCAATCCAAATTCAATACTCCCTCCAGTTTTGAATATAAGCAACAAAAAACATGTTTGTTTCTCAAACATAAATAAATCTTAACTAAATTTACTCTATTTAATACTACCATCTCCAAAATACCCCTTCATTTAATTGAAATAGTATTTCCAGTGATCCTTTTTATTCTTAATATCAAGTTTCAAGAAAGGGTAGTTTAAGAAATTAGGATATTTTTTTTAAATAGGATTAGTGCAATTAGACAATATTAATTCACTTTCTTAGTGTGAATTATTTTTTTGTTGTTTATATTCAGATTCGGAGCGAGTAACCTCTAATTACAATCCCTAACTTGCATTTTTATCTTTTGGATAATATGTTGTCAGTTTATTTCAGACTCACAGCTACAGATTCCTGTACATAAATTTTTCTTTTTTTCTGAATGATAACTTACATCTTCAAGTTTCATAGTTTAACTGTTCAGCTAACTTCATGTGTTGGAAGGCTATGTGTTTGTTGGTGTCTCTATATTGAAAGCCACCATATCCATAGTAACAGCTTTTAGTGATAGAGATGAATGAACCCATTTAAGTGCTAAGAGAGAAATAGTTATATGGAGATCTTGCATGAATATTAGTCTTCTAAATACAGGTCAAATATTTTGATGAAGACTGTTTTATAATGAATTATTAGATGATTTATTCTTATAAGTTGTATATTGCTTAAACTTACTACATATGTTATGATAATATAGAATTTTAGCCTAGTTGCTTTAAGCTTAAGCTGCATTACAAATCTAGTCTTTCTTTATCATACTTGATGCCATTGAAACTTTTACTTTGTAGTTGACCATTCTTTACCTTGATTAGGATGACTTCTTACCAAGGACGGCCACTCCATTGGAAGATATATTCAAGTCTCTTTTCTGGTATGTCTTAAGGACTAAATTATTTCTTTCTTACTATCATTACAAGGATGGAAGATGTTTTAGAATGCCAAAGTCGATGCTACATGTT